AAACATGTTTCTATCTACTGGGTCAAAATTGGATGGCACTTGCCCTCAGTGCCCTACTCTGGTTCCACTGCCTATGCCTTGAAAAGTAGAAAGCAATTTCTATTATCTTATTTTATGTATTACTGCTTTTACTTTTACTCACATCTATAGGTTAACTAGAGCTATGGAAAAGTAATCCTTATCAGAAGAATCGAAAAGAGAAAACTAAGACAAAGATTAAATCACAGGGAGTCTGACATAATCATTCATAACTATCATGACAAAAGCATTAATTTGTAATTTACTTTTATTTATTGATAGTTAGTGATCAGTCAATACATACCTATAGTTGTAACTACAGTATTCAAAGTCAATAAAAATTACTTTGTCCTCGTTGGAATTTCGTCTTTCAGGCAACAGGATATTTCCTTTAAAAAATAAAACAAGAAGTTCAAAACTAGTCACTTCATCATCACTTACGTAGCTTTCTTAGATACAATGATTTTCAAATTTTATGACACAAATGTAATTAGGGTAACATTTTAATACACTCAGTCCTTCAGTAAATATATAAAACCTCACAATAATACAAATCTATCCTTTTTCTGACATCGTACACAAATAACCCTAGCATATAAAGGTCACAGATATACAAATAACACTAGCATATAAAGGTCACAGATACACAAATAACACTAGCATATAAAGGTCACAGATACACAAATAACACTAGTATATAAAGGTCACAGAAACACAAATAACACTAGCATATAAAGGTCACAGATACACAAATAACACTAGCATATAAAGGTCACAGATACACAAATAACCCTAGCATATAAAGGTCACAGAAATACAAATAACCCTAGCATATAAAGGTCACAGATATACAAATAACCCTAGCATATAAAGGTCACAGAAACACAAATAACACTAGCATATAAAGGTCACAGAAACACAAATAACACTAGCATATAAAGGTCACTGATACACAAATAACCCTAGCATATAAAGGTCACAGAAACACAAATAACACTAGCATATAAAGGTCACAGAAACACAAATAACACTAGCATATAAAGGTCACAGATATACAAATAACCCTAGTATATAAAGGTCACAGATATACAAATAACCCTAGCATATAAAGGTCACAGATATACAAATAACACTAGCATATAAAGGTCACAGATATACAAATAACACTAGCATATAAAGGTCACAGATATACAAATAACCCTAGCATATAAAGGTCACAGATATACAAATAACAATGAAAAGAGTTGCAGAATTAACCATATTTTCACACGGTTGCATCGCTGGGACAATGGAATGGTTGTCAAAGCCAGCAAGAAACTGACAGGTGACAATGCAGTTCCAATCACATCAGAAAACTGAAGTTTCTTCAGGTGCCTAAAATCAACAGAAAGAACTCTTTGTGCTGTAATGTGTGGAGAATGGTCCACATCAAGTGGCTCTTGTTTGTTTGTGTTTTGGAATTTCACACAAAGCTACGCAAGGGCTATTTACACTAACTGTTCCTAATTTAGTAGTGACAGATTAGAGGGAAGGCAGCTAGTCAACACCACCAACTCTTGAGCTACTATTCTTCCAATGAACAGTGGCTGAAAGAGCTGGCACATCCGGTGATGGGAATTTGAACTCGCAACCCTCAGATTGTGAGTCGAGCATTTTAAGGAGTTTCTGCCTTAAATATTCAAAATGGTAGATCCAGTAAACCTGTACCCTTTGTTTTTTGAACGAAATGCTGGCCTTCAAGCAGACCACTGCAAATATAAATATTAAAATGAATTATTATACTAATCTGTAAAACTTCCATGAAGAAATACATTATTTTTTGTGTGATGGCAGAGAATTTTCCATGCAAGTTGCACTAATGCTGATAATGAGATTTGAGTTACCCCCTCTACCCCCACAAACACAGGAAATGCTGCAAAACTTTTACATTTATACAGATCTGTATTGAATGATTGTGCTAATATCATACCTACAGTATCAGAATATTTGAATAATGTTTTTTTGGTTAAAATACAAATTTATCCTTACATTTATAGGTTTTTAAAGGAGATACACGAAGAGAACAAAAAAAAAGGTTTCTTTAAAGGTTTCATTAGGAGGCCTCTCTCGAGTGGACGTCTATTGATAGGCTATGTATATATGTACACACACATGGGCACGTACATATTATCTACTGATAGGCTATGTATATATGTACACACACATGGGCACGTACATATCTACTGATAGGCTATGTATATATGTACACACACACACATGGGCACGTACATATTATCTACTGATAGGCTATGTATATATGTACACACACACATGGGCACGTACATATTATCTACTGATAGGCTATGTATATATGTACACACACATGGGCACGTACATATTATCTACTGATAGGCTATGTAAACATATTAGTTCTATTAATAATTTTAGTTATTAAAAAGGAAAACAAAAATCCAGATGTTTCTGACAAATTCATAAAATTTACCGTAGTTATAGTATCAAAAATTATCTATTATTTGGTGACAATTAACAACATTTTAATGCATAAATTTGTATACATTCAATGTCCTAGTCCTTACATACAAGAATCAAAACCTAAAACATAATCAGAATAAATGTGTTTACATTCAATGTCCTAGTCCTTACGTACAAGAATCAAAACCTAAAACATAATTAGGATAAATGTGTTTACATTCAATGTCCTAGTCCTTACGTACAAGAATCAAAACCTAAAATATAATTAGGATAAATTTGTTTACATTCAATGTCCTAGTCCTTACGTACAAGAATCAAAACCTAAAACATAATCAGAATAAATTTGTTTACATTCAATGTCCTAGTCTTTACGTACAAGAATCAAAACCTAAAACATAATTAGGATAAATTTGTTTACATTCAATGTCCTAGTCCTTACGTACAAGAATCAAAACCTAAAATATAATTCTAAACTAATTAGAATAAATTAATTTGAAGCACACAAATGTTTTTTCTTTATTCATGTTTTTTTCGTTGTATATATATCCATATTCATGTATAACACATACACAGACGCACATGAAATAAGATTTCTAATAATGAAGTAGTAGCCTCGAATACACATGGTAGTTTAATAATTAGAACCACTAATTTTTGATTTAATACGTTACAAAAATAACAAGTTCACGAAATGTCCCCACTAATGTTATGCTGTATTTATAAGCCCCCCCCCCCCCAATATGATGATGTAGTACCTCTTGTACAAGTACAAGTTTGGTCAAAAATCATCCATTCGGGGGGTATTACATCTACAAGAATGAAGCAGATTTCTATGTAACAGTGACATTTTGACCTTGACCTTCAAAAGTTAACCAAGGCTACAACTTTATACTTAATATCTATTAAATATGTTTAGTCAAAAATCTATCCTTCCAATCTTGAGATATTCTGTCCTCAAGATCAGGACAAAAGGCCAAATAAATATGCCCTGCTACGCTCAACAGGTGGGGCATAAAAAAGATTTTAGTAACACGTGAATTTTGCAAAGTTTGAAATCTTACACTTACCTTCTTGTAGGTCATTATGACAAAACACCACTGGGGATCCTGAGTTTTGAATAAATGACCTAAAAATAGAGAAAAAATTAGCTTAACAGAGTGAAATGCTAAATGAATCTACAAACTGTACCAAAAACCAAAAGATGTTTGTCTACGTACATATAATTGTCACATTTTGTTTTATATTTATATTAAAAATTAATTCCTTTTTACTTTTTGCAAAAATTACAATAACATCCACCAGTCAGAAAAGCATAAAAAATTTATTATATAGTTTTTGGCTTAAAACATCATAACACACAAATTTTAAATTTACTGTTATATTCTAATGTTTGCTGAAAAAACACCCATAAGTATCAACTGCCAGAAAAATGTTTAAAATTCTCTTCTGATCAAAAAATAAGCATTTACAGCCTAGCAATTAAGGTACACAATTTACTACATTCATTTACAGTTTTGTTTGTTTTTAAATAACATCATAACTACATGGCTGGAATTAGTATAACAACAGATTCTCCTGTATAGGAGTTCAACTCATACAGCTGAAATAATGTATGAAATTATTATAAAGACAACTCTCGATTTAAAATTATTATTTACAAAAACTATTTGTCCCAGAGGCATATTGGGAATCATAATTTTTATTCACGAAATCTTGGGTAAAGACAAGTAGTTTTTAAGACGTAATCGTCTTAAATTTAAGGCTTTATTTATAGTCACCCTTCACTTCTTTAAAAATATGCCCAAACAAGTCGGTTCTGAAATTAAAGCTACAATTATTTCCAAATTAAGAAAATCCCTTACGTTTTTGGGCTCTTGTAATTCATTAAAATAATCTAAACTATTAACCAAAAATTTAGGCTAAGTTTTATTTTCCAAAAGACAAGTAAATTCAATTGGAATACTATCTTCCAAATATTAAAATATATCAAATAATATACATACCTCAACCAGATACATTCACTTTACTATCTCCCAGATATCAAA